AACCTATAGCTCTGATACCATGTAAGATAAATTGATAAAGAGAGAGCAAAAATGAATAACTCTGTATTTCTGTGTATTATTACAAGAAGATGAACACTCTTTATAGAGAGGAGATGACAGCATAGGATGCTAAGTTAGGCACCGAAAGCAAGAAACATTACATAATATATAATATAAATGACAACTAGCTATGCTTTACTTTACAGCTTTTCTGTACACTAATAATACTAACAGAACTTCTGTGGAAGCTATACTTATTCCCCCCAAAACTGTTTGGTGGTCAAGAAAGAGCAGAGAATTTTTTTAAAAATTTTCTTGATTGGCAACAAAACAAAATTATTGATATAAATCAAAAAGTTAAACGGGGACACAAAGTCCACCAAAAGCAACAACATCAAAATACATTACATACTACTAGACTTTCTAATCTCTAGAGATCAAAAATAAAGGAATCCTGGAAACCAAAGCCTACGAGAAAGCAAAGTAACAAAGTTTCTCCACCAAATCACACAAAACACAATCACAAATGTTGTTATACATTTACAGGTGTTTATATTATACTCTTTTTTTTTTTACATTTTTTTTTTTTTTTTTAACATTTTCTGAACTTTCAAAAGATTACTTCAAGGTATTCCTAAATTTTGTTACAACTAGAACTATTACACACTAAGTTCCTATTTATCTGATGACCTATACTTCTACATAGCAGTTACTTTTTTGTTTTTCAATTTTTTTTCCTTGGATAAGGTATGTGTTCAAGCATAAAGATAGAACAACAGCATTTATGTCCGAAATCTGAAGTAGATGAGACCGTTACCATAAATAACTTCTTTTTTAAAATGCAGTTAAATTGGGATGAAGCAAACCATCTGGAAAATGGAACTGTATATGAAACTTAAAACTTGTTGTCCAACCTGTACTGCCAATGAAAGAAACTTATATATATCCAAAGCATATCGGACCAGTGCTTCATTCTCACCTGGGTTGATTGTACACCTGAAAATTTGAAGGATTCATGTGAACTGTACTCTTCCTTCCCAATGTCAGGTGGAAGGATAGATATAAAATAATAAGATAATTACTGAAATCATTATGGAATAAAACACTACTACAAATATAGATAAAGATTACATTTTTTTTGTGTGATGTATGGTTTTTAATCACACTTTTTAAGTTTTATTAAAGTGTGGTCTTTGGGAGTGTAATTAAAAGGGATCATTTTTAATCACACTTTTTAAGTGTCATTAAAAAATGCTTTCACCACACCTTTTAAGTGTGATTAAAAACATTTAGATCACACCTTTTTAAGTGTGATTAATAACATTTAGATCACACCTTTTCAGTGTGATTAATAACTAATAAAACCTATGATAAAAAAAATAAAAAAAAAATTCAAAATATTTGAAGAATAATCAATATTATTTTTGTACGCGCATTTGAAGAATGTAATACACACTATATACGATATTTTGAGTCACAGCCATATATTGAATGGAATAACGTCATATATTTCATAAATTAAAGTTAAATGTTCAAAAGTATATACAAAGAAATTAATAAAAAAAAATTAACTGTAATTACATATATTAAAAAAATTAAAAAAAACTTGAAAAAACTAAGTTCTTGAATGCTTTCAAAGCCATGTGGTTCGGCTCGTCAAAAGGTAAGTATCCAGCCATAAGAACAAAAAGAATGACCCCACAAGACCATATATCAGCTGCTGTACCATCATAACCTTTATCAGTGAGCACCTGATAGAAAGGGGAAAAAAAAGAAAGAAAGAAGTATCACAAATGCAAGAAACTAATAAGAAAAGGAAAAAATTTTTGCATCAAAGCGACCATTCATTTCCATGACATCATAATTGATACCTCAGGAGCAACATAATTTGGGGTTCCACAGGCAGTGTGAAGCAGCACGTCTTCTTACAGTAAAAAAAGTTGTCAGTCTTTGATTAAGCAAAGCCACAATACTAACTTATATTGATGAATGAGGGTTAGGTTTAAGGCAATCCATAACTTATGTGTCTGAATGACATTGAGATCATATAACCTCAATGTGGATTAGATCAAGTCTTAAAAAATGGTCACTGAATGTTTTCAAAGTGTCAAAATCTAGATGATGCATGATACAGAATCTTATGAAGAAGTCAACTAATAAAACTAAACTGCCTCCTTGATTTGGGGAAACACTAATATAAAAAGAGGGAAAGGAGAGACACAAATCATAAGAAAAAGTTCATTTCCAAATTAATAGAAACAAGAAATGAACAAGCCACTGAAGGACAGAAGAAAAACTAATGGCCACATTATTCCTGACAAATTCCTTTCAGAGCAGGGCACTGCTCCTGGCCAGAAAGGTAGTTTCTGGACTAGGTGATTTTAGTAAACCAAATAGACTGCAAAATTGACTCAGTGCTGTAACCACTTTTAAAAATTTAACGTTCAATTTATTAACTCCCACCTGCTAAAAATCTGCTCTTAGATGAGGAAATTGTTGCAAACTCACATAATACTTACTCGCACTTGCTGGGAAAATGCACTCAATCCAAAGTCTGAAATCTTGAGAACACCAAATGAGTCTAGAAGCAGATTCTCAGGCTGCAAAAGATGTAGGGTAATGCAAATTTCAGAGTCATGGTCGCATAGATAGCCAAAGAAACCAAATTACTGTTAGATAATAAATTCTTTTTTATAGGAAGAAATTAGAATAAATACATTAATTAATCAATGAAACATGTAAGAAAGTTTGTTAAACCTTGAAGTCTTTATGGTACATGCCTCTACTGTGGCAGTAGTCTACAGCATTGATGAGCTGCTAAAAATATCTCCTAGCTTCATCCTCTTTATGTCTTCCTAGTTTGGCCTAGTTATAAAAGGGCCAATAAGGGAATATTATCAGACAAATACAAGACTCGGTACCCACATGATTTACATAAATGAGCCTCAATAGAACACACATTACCACAACAAAATGGTAAGCATGACATGAGCAAATGCCTAAATTAAGATGTAATGCATTACACAATTGATTATATTATGAATGAAATTATAGGTGCTCAGAGAGTAGAAGCTCAAAAAACAATGCCTTACTATTTTGTCAAAAAGCTTGCCCTCGCCAACATACTCGAGCACAATGTAGATCTTTGTCTTGCTTGCCATAACCTATTTTCAAGCATAGAAAAAGGATGCATTAACATGTAAAACATGAAGCACTTAGACCATCATATTTCTAGTAGTGTGAAGAGCATTCAATTCCTTTTAAATTCTGCTCATAAATATAAAAAAAACTCAAAAAAATGTTGCAACAAATAGAAAAAGGATGCATTAACATGTCAATTGTTTTCATGTTTACACTAGACAAAATTGTATGCATAGAAAGTTGCATAGTGAAGTGGTTAGAAAATTAACTGTGTGATGAAGAATCAAGGTTTGTGAATAGTGGTAGCACGAGACAAACTATTGGTTGTGGTATTAGAAATGTTGAGCAATATGTATCCAGAATCAGATGATACAATTGTAAATTTTATTTTACTTATTTTTAAATCACCAAAGTAGCAAAAAAAAGTTTTATAGTAGCTAAATCAACTATAATAAATCATGAACCAATTGTATCAACTATGAACCAAATCATGAATCAGTTATAAACCGATATATGTATTGCAAACTGGCTAATATATATGATTTTCATTTCTATTAATTCTGGTATTAAAAGGCTAAAACCCAATACATACTGCATCTATGAATATCAAAAATCATGAGTGAGAGTCATGCTCCAAATTAATCTTATCCACGTATACATTTTATTTTTGATCACTTGCAACTTTTTCTCTCTTTTCTTTATTCGTAAGTTTTACCTTTCGAAGTATTCTTAAAAAAACATAATTAGCGTCTTCAACACACTAACAGACTTGCATGACCAATAGGCCTAAAGAATTGAGTGCAATCATCCATGTCAAAATTTGGTCCCTTTGTCAATGCTTCATCTGCTTCTTGAAGCCTATGCAGCTTCAGCAAGGCCTCAGCTTGCAATGCAAAAATCTTACCAACAACCAAAACAAAACACTCATGTCAATTTCAGGCCTATAGCTGTGGCACCAAACCTTGAAAACAGAACATAACATTTAAAGGCTGAAATTGAAGTGTATAGCTAACCTATGGGGCAGAATCAGCACCAGCTGATATGGCGAGCCTGGTTTCTTTCAGTAGTGTGTTTCAATCTCGTTGTATCTTGGCCTCAGTACACTTACTCAGATGAACCTGAAGATTTTTAGCTTTAGTCAAGACATCAGGGTCTGATTCAGCACCAGCTTGTTTATAGTGATACATTGCCTTTTCTGCTTCTCCTAATCTGCAATCACAAATAAATATTACAACAACAATAGTAATGCCCAATTAAGCATAATGAACATAACTAAATGACAATTGAAGATTTGAAAACTAAAATATGATTAAAAAAAAAATTATCATGTTTTAAATAGTAGGAGACGAATTAGTATTGGTCGAAGTGCAGTGATATATAGAGTATTGAAAGATATGTATTGAGAATTTTGGTGGCACAATTAAAGATATGAACAATGGCCTCCAATATGGAAAATCAAACGTTGTCACGAACCATTCTTGTTGCAGGTTTCCAAGAAAAACGTTCATAGATGAACAATGGCCTCCAAGTGCCATAGAACAATGCAAATGAAAAGATCAAAAACACTAATCTGTTCGATCATGAGCATCTCATCGAACAGAAAAAAGAAAAAAAAGATTAACTCACTAAACATAACAGCTATATAAACAATAAAGGATTAGATTGAACAGCTATATAATCTATTCAATTTTGTAATTTATCGAACGCTATAAGGTCCGAATCTATTGTTAAGCAAATTACATAAGAGATGATAGAAATTTGGATATAGAAAATACACATTCATCATTTTTGCAGCACAGAAAAACCAATGCTTAAATCAAATTCTATAGTCTTCTACAAAGCACATCTGAAATTCACCAAACTACGACTATAAGCTAAAATCCACACACATGCTCCAACTAATCTGTTCGATCATGAGCGAAAAGATCAAAAACACTAATCTGTTCGATCATGAGCATCTCATCGAACAGAAAAAAGAAAAAAAAGATTAACTCACTAAACATAACAGCTATATAAACAATAAAGGATTAGATTGAACATCTATATAATCTATTCAATTTTGTAATTTATCGAACGCTATAAGGTCCGAATCTATTGTTAAGCAAATTACATAAGAGATGATAGAAATTTGGATATAGAAAATACACATTCATCATTTTTGCAGCACAGAAAAACCAATGCTTAAATCAAATTCTATAGTCTTCTACAAAGCACATCTGAAATTCACCAAACTACGACTATAAGCTAAAATCCACACACATGCTCCAATCTAACATGACAGAAAATAATAATAATAATAATAATAATAATAATAATAATAATTCGAATTCAGAACTAAAATCAAGCAAGTTCAGAGCAAGTTCATCATTTTCGCAGCACAGAAAATACACAATTAAGAATGAATGGTTCAGCTTGTACCTGTAGCAGATGAGGAAGAAGAATTGAATGGAGATTTATGATCATAGCACCTAATAAATCGAGTTGATTTTAGCTGTTGCATAATATGTACATAGTTCACTTATGCAAGAATGAATATGCTGCGATTTATACCATTAAATGAAAATAAAATATCAAAAGTCACCAATCCTTTTATTTCCCAAACTCTCACCAATCCTCTGATTAAAAAGCAGTAGTGTATATATAATCACACTTTTAATTAGAAGGTATGATTAAAAATATATATATATATATAATCACACTTAATTGAAAAGTGACAAAATAAATATTATCATACTCAATCAAATTAAGTGTGATTAAAATATTAATCTAATTTTTTTTATCATACTTCTAATAAAAGTGAGATCTTTTTTTTTTTCAAAGTGTGATCTTTAACTATATTTTTAGTAGTGAA